ACACCTGCTGGGCCCCAAATAACACACACACGTAACCCCTATAACAACCCTGATCACCATAACACCGGCAAGTGCCAATTATGGCATCTTATGCTGGGTTGTGGAGCGACAGTGGAGTGCCAGGAGAGCCAAGGGCTGCTTGAGGTACCAAGGGTGTCAGTGGAGCCAATGGTGCCACAGGTGCCAGGAGTACTAGATGTTCCAGGGAATCCTCTTGGATGCTAGAGGTGTCAAAGGAGTGCCTAAGGTGCCAGGGGGTGCCAGGGGATGGTACAGGAAAGGGTGAGGGTGGGGGGAGGAGGAATCCCTGGACGTGGCACTTTTGGCTGGCACTCTCCCGAGAACCAGACTGCCACTGGTGGTGCCAGTGGTGGTGTCAGTGGTGGTGCCAATGGTGGTGCCAGTGGTGGTGTCAGTGGTGGTGTCAGTGGTGGTGTCAATGGTGGTGTCAGTGGTGGTGCCAGTGTTGGTACTCTGCCTGCCTTAAGACCTCATATCTCTAGCCTGACAACAGATAGTTAGGAAGTAGAATGAACCACAGGTAGCAAGCGGAGCCCCGCAAGGATAGCTTCCAGGAGCCATACAATTCCTCACGTATATACACAATCATTAGACTGGAGGGGTAGAGAGATAAGGGTGAGTGGACGCCGAGGATGGGACATGATTGAGACATTAAACGTCTCAATCATAGGTAGGTACGAGTATATATATATATATATATATATATATATATATATATATATATATATATATATATATATATATATATATATATATATATATATATATATATATATATATATTGTTCTAATAAGGAAATATTCGGAACAATGTTCACTACATACGTCAGACCAGTATGATCATATGCAGCCCTGTCATTAAGCACTAACTTTTAAAACCCATAACACCACATGTCACGACCACCCATCGTGACATGTGGGTGGTCACGATGGGTGACCACACGCCCGCCCACACCTGACAATCCCCACACACACACACACAACTCCTCCACATTACACATACTGCTACATAGAACAAAATATACATACCCCCACCACAAAATACATAATAATGACTCCCCAACTTCAACAACTACATAACAAATCTACAACAGATTACAGGAGCATAACCTACCACCACCAGCAGTTGTGGGCGTGAGGAAAGTGCCCGGGGCGGGCGGGCGGGCGGGCGGGCGGCCACAACACGCCCACGCCCACCAGAGCGGAACTGGACAAATATGATCGGACAAAATACTCTCACGAAGACGAAATAACCATTAGATTAAAGGCAAACACGGCTATTGATCGTCCGGGGCGGCGATGAGCGCCCTCCTGCCTCTCTACCTCATCATCACCGCTCCTGACAACACTCAACTGTTGTCACTGTTGATGATTAGTGTCCCCCACCATGGTGGTGAGTGGTGGCAGTGTCCCCCACCATGGTGGTGAGTGGTGGCAGTGTCCCCCACCATGGTGGTGAGTGGTGGCAGTGTCCCCCACCATGGTGGTGAGTGGTGGCAGTGTCCCCCACCATGGTGGTGAGTGGTGGCAGTGTCCCCCACCATGGTGGTGAGTGGTGGCAGTGTCCCCCACCATGGTGGTGAGTGGTGGCAGTGTCCCCCACCATGGTGGTGAGTGGTGGCAGTGTCCCCCACCATGGTGGTGAGTGGTGGCAGTGTCCCCCACCATGGTGGTGAGTGGTGGCAGTGTCCCCCACCATGGTGGTGAGTGGTGGCAGTGTCCCCCACCATGGTGGTGAGTGGTGGCAGTGTCCCCCACCATGGTGGTGAGTGGTGGCAGTGTCCCCCACCATGGTGGTGAGTGGTGGCAGTGTCCCCCACCATGGTGGTGAGTGGTGGCAGTGTCTCCCACCATGGTGGTGAGTGGTGGCAGTGTCCCCCACCATGGTGGTGAGTGGTGGCAGTGTCTCCCACCATGGTGGTGAGTGGTGGCAGTGTCCCCCACCATGGTGGTGAGTGGTGGCAGTGTCCCCCACCATGGTGGTGAGTGGTGGCAGTGTCCCCCACCATGGTGGTGAGTGGTGGCAGTGTCCCCCACCATGGTGGTGAGTGGTGGCAGTGTCCCCCACCATGGTGGTGAGTGGTGGCAGTGTCCCCCACCATGGTGGTGAGTGGTGGCAGTGTCCCCCACCATGGTGGTGAGTGGTGGCAGTGTCCCCCACCATGGTGGTGAGTGGTGGCAGTGTCCCCCACCATGGTGGTGAGTGGTGGCAGTGTCCCCCACCATGGTGGTGAGTGGTGGCAGTGTCCCCCACCATGGTGGTGAGTGGTGGCAGTGTCCCCCACCATGGTGGTGAGTGGTGGCAGTGTCCCCCACCATGGTGGTGAGTGGTGGCAGTGTCCCCCACCATGGTGGTGAGTGGTGGCAGTGTCCCCAACACCTGACTGACAACCTACCACAAAAAAAAAACACACACCTGACTTAGTGACGCGAGGTGGGTCACACACCGGGCGGGTGGCGGCCAGGCGGGTGGCGGCCAGGCGGGTAGCGGCCAAGACCCACATCTCCAGGAGCGGGTACAACGCCGTGTTTGCCAGGGTGTCAACGGGTAATTTGGGCGTCTCAAGGGGCCCGTGCGGGTGCCACTTAGGGCAGGTGGGTGGCTTGGCCCTCCGTGGACACTCACTCACGCCAGGGGCCCCCAGGGACACGCCAGGCGCCACTTCCAGGGACACGGTGATGTATTACACCCCTTCGAAGGTGGATTATGTGGTCCGGGCGTTATGGGCCCCTTCCCTGGGGGGCCCCGCGCCCCTCGTCTTCCGTGAGCAGTAACGTACAGCTTCACGCCTCTACTGTGTTCCTTAATTACAGCTTCACGCCTCTACTGTGTTCCTTAATAACAGCTTCACGCCTCTACTGTGTTCCTTAATTACAGCTTCACGCCTCTACTGTGTTCCTTAATAACAGCTTCACGCCTCTACTGTGTTCCTTAATTACAGCTTCACGCCTCTACTGTGTTCCTTAATTACAGCTTCACGCCTCTACTGTACTCTGTACTCCGGCAGGAGTACAGAGGAAGGAGGAGAGAGCCTTTCGATGGCCTACACTCTCCTTCTCTCGCCAGGGAAAACCGACAAGTTGTCGGAATTGCTTTTCAGCTGGAGAGGAGAAGTGTTATCTTGTGCCCCTGAGGGAGATGTCATGCGCTATCGTTGCGCGGGGGAAAGCAGTAGAGGCTGACAGGATAACCATCACGGAAAACTGTCACAATCTGTTGCAGGTTCAACACTCGTATATCATCATGCACCATCCCCCTCCCCCCCCCCACACTGCCGGGATAGTGACCACTATGGTGCACCGTCCCCCCTCCCCCACACAGACACCAGAAGGCATCATCACCGTAACGGGGGAAGGCTGCTACAAGAATCTAACAAAAGAGAGTTCACAGTTCCAAGACTGACACCAGAGGAACACATAGACAAGGTAACATCAGCAGCACATGGGACGCTGACACACATTAGACCGTCGATTCGAAACCTTAATCAGAATCCTTTCAAGGCAGTCTATACAGCATTTGTTAGATCAATACTGGAATATCCAGCACCGGCCTGGAGACCGCACCTTGCGAAATATAAAACCAAGCTTGAAAAGGTAAAAAGGTTTGCAACAAGACTGGTGCCAGAGATAAGAGGGTTGAGCTGTGAGGACTGGTGAAGTGAAGAGGACCTCCCTACCCTGTAGACACTGGTAGGTAAGTAATGATAGGTAAGTCCTCTCTGACCTGTACATCATCAGCATGATGACGTCATAGTCCCTAAATATTCTGGTGATGTGTTCAGCCTACTCTCGTCGCATGTAACAAGACCTGGGTTCGAATCCTTTGAAGGGTGGGACGTTTGACTTCCCTTTCCCTCAATGTTAGTAGAGCTAGCAAAACCCCGGGGAAGGAGTTTAGGCAGCTGTGGGAGAGAGAGGTCTTAGCCTACATACACTCAGCTGTGGGAGAGAGAGGTCTTAGCCTACATACACTCAGCTGTGGGAGAGAGAGGTCTTAGTCTACATACACTCAACTGTGGGAGAGAGAGGTCTTAGCCTACATACACTCAACTGTGGGAGAGAGAGGTCTTAGCCTACATACACTCAGCTGTGGGAGAGGGAGAGAGGTCTTAGCCTACATACACTCAGCTGTAGGAGAGAGAGGTCTTAGCCTACATACACTCAGCTGTGGGAGAGAGAGGTCTTAGCCTACATACACTCAGCTGTGGGAGAGAGAGGTCTTAGCCTACATACACTCAACTGTGGGAGAGAGAGGTCTTAGCCTACAAACAATTTTTAAAACGCTTCTGCTGTTGTTCCATCTAATGTAAATAAAAAATGAAAAACAAATAATTGTAACATCATGGCATTTGTTGATACCATGATAACCCCCCCCCCCCCAACACTGCTGCCTCCGTACATCTGTCCCATTCACCCATCACCTCTGTGTCACAGTCACCACCTAACAGGTGTGTGTCCACAACTACCTGGAAGCCGTAGTGCCACAGGTGCTTAACCGCTGTGTAATCTTAACAAGCTCCGCTCTCACGAGTGGCTCTAAGAGCCTAGCATGCACGGAGCCTAGCATGCACGGAGCCTAGCATGCACGGAGCCTAGCATGCACGGAGCCTAGCTTGCACGGAGCCCAGCTTAACAAATGCCGGAGCGTCATTTACATTGGCTAATTCAGTGTCGTCATCAGCACCTGTGACAACATCAGAGGACAAGTGCATCAGCACCTGTGCACCTGTGCCAACCTCACCAAGGAAAGAATTGAGATATGTGCAAAAGACGGGCAAATCTACCGTTGAGGCAAATCTACCGTTGAGGCAAATCTACCGTTGAGGCAAATCTACCGTTGAGGCAAATCTAAGGTGGTATTGAGCAGGTTTCTATACATGCTAGGACAGGTGTCTTACTCGGAGGAGACAAGAGGACAGGTGCGGGAGGCATCCTACAGGTGCGGTGGGGGAAGAGGACGCAGGAGAGGGTGCCACTAACCTTTGCCAAAGGACGTCTTGGAGTGGGGCGTAACGACGGAGAAGGCGGACACGTGGGCGTGGAGTGCCAGGCCCTGTGGGCACGCGGGTGGCACTCTCCAGCTGTCCCCCGCACCCTCCATGGCTGGCTCTGTAACAAGAAGTGGCACGCTCAAGCCAGGTGGCACGCTCAAGCCAGGTGGCACGGTCAAGCCAGGTGGCACGGTCAAGCCAGGTGGCACGCTCAAGCCAGGTGGCACGGTCAAGCCAGGTGGCACGGTCAAGCCGGGTGGCACGGTCAAAAAAGATGGCACGGTCAAGCCAGGTGGCACCCTCAAGCCAGGTGGCACAAAAGCCCGGTGGTTCACATTCAAGCCAGGTGGCACACACAAGCCAGGTGGCACACACAAGCCAGGTGGCACTCAAGTCAGGTGGCACACTCAAGCCAGGTGGCACACACAAGCCAGGTGGTACTCAAGCCAGGTGGCACACACAAGTCAGGTGGAACACACAAGCCAGGTGGCACACACAAGCTAGGTGGTACACACAAGCCAGGTGGCACACACAAGCCAGGTGGCACTCAAGTCAGGTGGCACACACAAGCCAGGTGGCACACACAAGCCAGGTGGCACTCAAGTCAGGTGGCACACACAAGCCAGGTGGTACACACAAGCCAGGTGGCACATATAAGCCAGGTGGCACTCAAGCCAGGTGGCACACACAAGCCAGGTGGCACACACAAGCCAGGTGGCACACAAGTCAGGTGGCACACACAAGCCAGGTGGCACATACAAGCCAGGTGGCACTCAAGTCAGGTGGCACACGCAAGCCAGATGGCACACACAAACCAGGTGGCACACACACAAGCCAGGTGGCACACACACAAGCCAGGTGGCACACACACAAGCCAGGTGGCACACACAAGCCAGGTGGCACTCAAGTCAGGTGGCACACACAAGCCAGGTGGCACATACAAGCCAGGTGGTACACACAAGCCAGGTGGCACCCACAAGCCAGATGGCACACACAAGCCAGGTGGCACACACAAGCCAGATGGCACACACAAGCAAGGTGGCACACACAAGCCAGGTGGCACTCACAAGCCAGGTGGTACACACAAGCCAGGTGGCACTCACAAGCCAGGTGGCACACACAAGTCAGATGGCACACACAAGCCAGGTGGCACACACAAGCCAGGTGGCACTCAAGTCAGGTGGTACACACAAGCCAGGTGGCACTCAAGCCAGGTGGCACTCACAAGCCAGGTGGCACACACAAGCCAGGTGGCACACACAAGCCAGGTGACACACTCAAGCCAGGTAACACACACAAGCCAGGTGGCACACACAAGCCAGGTGGCACACACAAGCCAGGTGACACACTCAAGCCAGGTGACACACACAAGCCAGGTGGCACACACAAGCCAGGTGGTACACACAAGCCAGGTGGCACACACAAGCCAGGTGACACACTCAAGCCAGGTGACACACAAGCCAGGTGGTACACTCAAGCCAGGTGGCACTTAAGTCAGGTGGCACACACAAGCCAGGTGACACACACAAGCCTGGTGACACACTCAAGCCAGGTGGCATTCTCAAGCCAGGTGGCACACACAAGCCAGGTGGCACACTCAAGCCAGGTGACACACTCAAGCCAGGTGGCACACACAAGCCAGGTGGCACACTCAAGCCAGGTGGCACACACAAGCCTGGTGACACACACAAGCCAGGTGACACACACAAGCCAGGTGGCACGCACAAGCCAGGTGGCACACTCAAGCCAGGTGGCACACACAAGCCAGGTGACACACACAAGCCAGGTGGCACACTCAAGCCAGGTGGCACACACAAGCCAGGTGGCACACACAAGCCAGGTGGCACAAAGTGCTGACAAAGTAAATAAACATCAGGAACCTTTGGTGGCAGGGTCACTATGCCACAGGGTGGTGGCAGGGTCACTATGCCACAGGGTGGTGGCAGGGTCACTATGCCACAGGGTGGTGGCAGGGTCACTATGCCACAGGGTGGTGGCAGGGGTCACTATGCCACAGGGTGGTGGCAGGGGTCACTATGCCACAGGGTGGTGGCAGGGGTCACTATGCCACAGGGTGGTGGCGGGGTCACTATGCCACAGGGTGGTGGCAGGGGTCACTATGCCACAGGGTCACTATGCCACAGGGTGGTGGCAGGGTCACTATGCCACAGGGTGGTGGCAGGGGTCACTATGCCACAGGGTGGTGGCAGGGTCACTATGCCACAGGGTGGTGGCAGGGGTCACTATGCCACAGGGTGGTGGCAGGGGTCACTATGCCACAGGGTGGTGACAGGGTCACTATGCCACAGGGTGGTGGCAGGGGTCACTATGCCACAGGGTGGTGGCAGGGGTCACTATGCCACAGGGTGGTGGCAGGGTCACTATGCCACAGGGTGGTGGCAGGGTCACTATGCCACAGGGTGGTGGCAGGGTCACTATTCCACAGGGTGGTGGCAGGGGTCACTATGCCACAGGGTGGTGGCAGGGGTCACTATGCCACAGGGTGGTGGCAGGGTCACTATGCCACAGGGTGGTGGCAGGGGTCACTATGCCACAGGGTGGTGGCAGGGGTCACTATGCCACAGGGTGGTGGCAGGGTCACTATGCCACAGGGTGGTGGCAGGGTCACTATGCCACAGGGTGGTGGCAGGGGTCACTATGCCACATGGTGGTGGCAGGGGTCACTATGCCACAGGGTGGTGGCAGGGGTCACTATGCCACAGGGTGGTGGCAGGGGTCACTATGCCACAGGGTGGTGGCAGGGGTCACTATGCCACAGGGTGGTGGCAGGGGTCACTATGCCACAGGGTGGTGGCAGGGGTCACTATGCCACAGGGTGGTGGCAGGGTCACTATGCCACAGGGTGGTGGCAGGGGTCACTATGCCACAGGGTGGTGGCAGGGTCACTATGCCACAGCGTGGTGGCAGGGGTCACTATGCCACAGCGTGGTGGCATACACATAACATTTCTTATTAAGATACAGACCAGGAGAAGCGAGAGTTCCTTGCTACTGTCTGTACTGATATCTTTATGCTCAGATGAGGCAGGTAGGGAGGCAGGCAGGGAGGCAGGCAGGGAGGGAGGTAGGCAGGAAGGGAGGCAGGCAGGGAGGCAGGCAGACAGGGAGGGAGGCAGGCAGGGAGGCAGGCAGGCAGGTAGGCAGGGAGACAGGGGGAGGCAGGCAGGCAGGCAGGGAGACGGGGAGGCAGGCAGGCAGGGAGGCAGGCAGGGAGGCAGGCAGGCAGGCAGGGAGGCAGGCAGGGAGGCAGGCAGGGAGGGAGGCAGGCAGGGAGGGAGGCAGGCAGGCAGGGAGGGAGGCAGGGAGGCAGGCAGGCAGGCAGGCAGGGAGGCAGGCAGGCAGGGAGGGAGGCAGGCAGGGAGGCAGGCAGGCAGGCAGGCAGGGAGGCAGGCAGGGAGGCAGGCAGGCAGGCAGGGAGGCAGGCAGGGAGGCAGGCAGGCAGGGATGCAGGCAGGCAGGGAGGCAGGCAGGCAGGCAGGGAGGCAGGCAAGGGAGGCAGGCAGGGAGGCAGGCAGGCAGGCAAGGAGGCAGGGAGGCAGGCAGGCAGGCAGGGAGGCAGGCAGGCAGGCAGGGAGGCAGGCAGGCAGGCAGGGAAGCAGGCAGGCAGGGAGGCAGGCAGGGAGGCAGGCAGGCAGGCAGGCAGGCAGGCAGGCAGGCAGGGAGGCAGGCAGGGAGGCAGGGAGGCAGGCAGGGACGGAGGCAGGCAGGTAGGGAGGCAGGCAGGTAGGGAGGCAGGCAGGGAGGCAGGCAGGGAGGCAGGCAGGGAGGCAGGCAGGTAGGGAGGCAGGCAAGGAGGCAGGGAGGCAGGTTGGGAGGGAGGCAGGGAGGCAGGGAGGGAGGCAGGCAGGTAGGGAGGCAGGCAGGCAGGGAGGCAGGCAGGCAGGGAGGCAGGTAGGGAGGGAGGCAGGGAGGCAGGCAGGGAGGCAGGGAGGCAGGCAGGCAGGGAGGCAGGGACAAAAAGAGCAGCAGTTCACTGTGTACATTAATTAAATTAATTATCGGTGAGGGGAAAACAATTCAGCTTTTATAAACGGTCTGACACTAAAGAGAAGGGGGGGGGGAAGGGTGTAGAGTGGGTGTAGAGTGGGTGTTGGGTGGGTATAGTGTAGGTGTAGTGTAGGTGTAGCGAAGGTGTAGCGTGGGTGTAGGGTGGGTGTAGCGTGGGTGTAGGGTGGGTGTAGGGTGGGTGTAGCGTGGGTGTAGGGTGGGTGTAGTGTAGGTGTAGTGTAGGTGTAGCGTGGGTGTAGGGTGGGTGTAGCGTGGGTGTAGGGTGGGTGTAGGGTGGGTGTTGCGTGGGTGTAGGGTGGGTGTAGTGTAGGTGTAGTGTAGGTGTAGCGTGGGTGTAGGGTGGGTGTAGCGTGGGTGTAGGGTGGGTGTAGCGTGGGTGTAGGGTGGGTGTAGTGTAGGTGTAGCGTAGGTGTAGGGTGGGTGATAACAACCACACGGTCGGGGCTCACACTACGTCAACAATCACACTATTGTCACCTCAGGTACTGGTCCCTGTCAGTACTCTCACGGTGTTATGTTGGTCTTCTGATGACTGGTCGTTGGCTCTCCTGAGCACGATATTAAACCCCCCTCCCCTCCCGTTAACTGTTGTCAACTGTTAACTGTAAACAGTTAACTGCTACATGAACTGATGACAGCCGCAAGCCTAGCCACCTCGTCGCCATATTCCTAGACTGTCAGAAAGCCGTTGATACTGTCTCAACTCAAAGGTGAAACTAGATAATCATGTCGGTGGACCTGGAGGCGTGGTGAGGTGTGAGAGAGAGGGTCACGTGACACTGGGGGCACACCACCCCCCTGGGGGGTCAGAGAGGTCACGACTGGGGAGCCCCTGAGAGTCCGTGCCAGGGGGGCCCGGACCCTCTGGAGTACATGGCAACGATCTACACATATGACGTTGGCTCCAGTTTACAAATGTTTGCAGATGGTGCCAATCTAAGAAGTTAAAAGGCTATGAACATACACACACACACACACTCACTCACTCACACACACACACACACACATACACACACACATACACACACATACACGCACAAACACACTCCCAAACGAGCCACAGGGACGTTAGAAAGAACTTTTTCAGTGT